GCTGATTCACTTTGTTATAAAGCAGAAACTAACACACCATTGTAAAGCAGTTATACTCAAAAAAAGATGTTAATAAAAAACAAAAAGCAGCTGGGTTGGAGCTGTTTATAAGTCCTAGAGTATTTCTTCACACAAAACACAAGCTTTAGAAATAACTCTCTATGTTGTCTCAGGTAAGCATCAAAGAGGTTTTCCCTGAGAGAAACAGAAACCCAAGCCTTGCAACTGAGATCTGAATTCTTTCTTTCCTATCTTTATGGTACAGGGACAGGATGGTGATAGTGGGAGGGAGAGAAAGTACTTGGGGAGGATACAAAAGAGGCTTGAATTGTATCTATAATATTTCATTTCCAAATAAATAAATGAGTATTAATAAGATTCAAATACTGCAAAATATTAAAATGTTGTATCCAGTATTTGTTATATGATTTTATGTGCTATCATTTTACTAATTAAAAAAAATAAACAGGTTCATTGCAGCACTATTTACAATAGCCAGGACATGGAAGAAAGCTAGATGTCCATCAACTGATGAATGGATAAAGAAGTTGTGGCACATATATACAATGGAATGTTGCTCAGCCATAAAAAGGAATGAAATTGAGTTATTTGTAGTGAGGTGGATGGACCTAGAATATGTCATACAGAGTGAAATAAGTCAGAAAGAGAAAAACAAATACCATACGCTAACACGTATATATGGAATTTTAAAAAGTGGTACGGATGAACCTAGTGGCAGGGCAAGAATAAAGATGCAGATGTAGAGAACAGACTTGAGAGCATGGGGGAAAGGGTAAACTGGGACGAAGTGAGAGAGTGGCATGGACATATATATACTACCAAATGTAAAATAGATAGCTAGTGGGAAGCAGCTGCATAGCACAGGGAGATCAGCTCTGTGGTTTGTGACCACCTAGAGGGGTGGGATAGGGAGGGTAGGAGGGAGGCTCAAGAGGGAGGGGATATGGGGATATATGTATACATATAGCTGATTCACTTTGTTGTACAGTAGAAGCTAACACACCATTGTAAAGCATTTATACTCCAATAAAGATGTGGAAAAAAAGACATCTAAACAAATAAAAATATAAATCCAAAAAAAAATGTTAATTAACTTGCCCAGATCACAGTCCATGAGAGGAGAAACTATGGAAATATAGACTTCTAATACCAAAGTCTGTTAAACTGACTTGGCTTATTCATTTTTGCATTAAGAAGGAAGGGCCTAACATGTGGCCAAGGTGTTCAGAATGATAGACAACAGCTGGGATAATTCCTGGAGGGAGGGGCCCTGCTGACAGAGGTCTGCTATCAAGTGCCACCATTCATCCACCACCCTGGTGGCCCAGGGCTGCCTTTGGCCCGTGACCTAAGGAAACTTAGAGATCATCTACTTCAACTGGGTCAGTTTACAAATTCAGAAACAGACCCAGAGAGATTAACTGGCTGGCTTAGTGAGTGGATGATTCAAAATTTAATGCTATGTCAATTATACCACGTGCTCTAAACTGTAGGCAAGAAGTAGCAGAACAGTCTTGGGAATGGGGATGATGATGATGATAAATAAAAATAAACATGATGGTGGTGGTGATGATAGCAGCTAACGGTTTTGAGCACTAATCTAAATTCTAGGTACCCTCCTGAATGCTTTGTAAGTATCCCCTTGATTATTCCTCACAACAACCCAAAGTTAGGTACAATCATCATCTCCATTCAGATCAAAGGAGAGCCTCTCAGGGGCTCATCATCTGTAAATTACAGAGCAGATCCCAACCTAGGCAGTCTGACTTCTGTGCTGGAACTCTTTACCATATGCTGTGCTAAAGACTCAAACATTAGGGGAAGGGGGAGGGAGCAAGTGGGAGCTCAATCCCATCTCTCTCAGGTTCAACTTGGGCTTATCTATTTCCCATAACTACAGATGCGAGGTGTGTATTTGGCTTAGAATTTGACATTATCTGATGCCAGTATGAATGCTACATGGTGTCAAGTCAGGTAGAGCTCTTGAAGCAATGGTATGTTAGAGTGTAGATGGATTGACTCATGAATTATTGGATTAAACCTGAAGTAAATTCCCTAAGCACAACTTTAGTTTTCCTATACATAAAGGAGTACTTCTGAAAAGAGTAAAACATTTTGCCCTCTCTCTGGTGTGGGAAAACCATTATCACAGCCAAAAAAAGAACGCTTAAGCCAACAATACTGAATAATTCGTTTCATGTCAACCAAAAAAAGTGAAAGCAATAAATAAACCAAATTTTTCTAGTAATGAGATGCTACTGGTTAGTGAATGTTAATAATGTAGATTATAGGATAGTTAGATTTATGACTATGGTCTCCTTCCAACAAGGAAATGAATCTTGTTAATTCTAGAGGCAGAACTACATAGTGGAGTTCTGGAGTTTGGTTACTGAGGTCACATTTCAGCTCTGTCATTCAACTATATACTGTGTGTGTTTAATCAATACTAGTATTAGGCACCCTCAAATTTAAAAAGAATGGTCAAGGATTGATTTCATTATTATCAATCTGTCAATATTTTAATGATCTGCTGAACATCCTCAGGAAAATAAAACAAAAATTCCCAGTACATATAAATTTTATTTGTGAGAAAACAACAATCTGAAATGCCGTGTTATGTCCACACAGAGAATGCTGACTATACAATTTGTCTTCCAAGGATAAAAATCGTAAGGTCCAAAGAAGCATAGCTATTACTCACAAGGATATACATGGTTGCTCAAAAGACTTTATATCCTAAAGTTACATACATTTTAAAGTTATTTGTAGGGAA